GTCGACATCCTGGACCTCGGTGCTGTACTGGAATACAACTCCCTTCTCCTCAAGCCACGTATGCAGCGGCACGACCAAAGACTCGTACTGGTTGTACCTCGTGAATTTCAAGGTTGAAAAGTCGGGCATGCCACGAATGTGGTTGACGAATCGGTGCAGGTACAGCTTCATCTCCAAAGCTGAATGCCAGGTCTGAAAAGCAAACATGGTCTGCCAGTACATCCAAAAGTTGCTGTCAAAGAACTCTTGGCTAAAGACTTGATCGATCCTCACGTTTTCAACCTCCTTTCGCGTGGCCAAGAACAACTTGGTCACCTCGGCTTGTGCCTTTTCGCTGAGGGTAAAGAGAGTGCCAGTCTCGGCGTCTTGACCTTGCTTGATGGTGGCTCGCTGAAGAGAAAAGTTGGGATCTCTCTTGTTAAGCCAGTAGAATTCATCAAGAACACTGGCTTCGTTTTCTTCAAGGGAGGGAACAGATCGGAAGAGGTCCCAAAGACACTCAAAGTGAGACTCCATCTCTCGACCACCTCGCATGACGAATCCCTTTTCAGAATCATGAATTCCGTCGAGGGCACCGCCAGAGATGTTGAGCTCTTCAAGGATGGTGATGTTCTTGCCTGGCATCTGAGCGTCACGGACGAGGAATGCGGCTGTGGAGAGACCAGACAGTCCAGAGCCAACAATCCAGGCCTTTTTCTTCTCGATGCCCTCAGGCTTGAGAGGACGAGCAAAAGCCTCGTAGTTGCCCTTGCTGTAATACATGATGAAAAGATGTAATATTCAATGTGAACTTGTTGTTATTGTTGCTTGTTTCGTTGTAGTTATGATAAGACATTTTCGCAAATCGACGCGATGAAGCATAGTATTTATGCTTAAGCATCTCGTGACAATCTCCATTGAAAAAAATGCCATTCTCACGAACAATCAGATCATACAGAGCCTGTGATGCAATTGAATTCGTCGCCGTCCGAGGCTTCAATTCCAGACCGAGGATCACATGCTAGCGAAGACCGAGAGTGGGTCAAGAGTGATAGTTATCGTGAAGCTTACGTCGCCTGGTTTCAGTGACGAACGGGTGACGGTGGGGAGATTGTACGCGGGACTCGATAGGAGCGTGACTTGTTGTTCTTGGCTTAGTTGATGGGTTTTAAGGAACGTGCGGCGGTGTGAGGCTCTTTTGCAGCCCATTGTGACCGTTGCCAAGCTGTCGGTAGTGACGCACGAGGCGTCGACGGTACTGCACTGGCACACACACACACTGAAGGATTCTAGAAGCCGAGGTGACAGCTTTCGGCCCTTCAGGGGGTGAGGTGCATTAATTTGGCAGTTGACAATGATGTTATTGGTCAATGTGATAAGACTACTTCTCAGGATGGCCACGAAAGTCTCCAAGGTTCTCGACATTCCCACTGCATTCACATTTCCATTTGCATTTTCCGTTCATGTGATTTCCCATTGACTTTACGTTAGTGTATGGTCCGTGTCATCCGGCGTCCACCATTCCTCTTCTACTCCAACACTCAGAAGCGCATCTGCTGAAATCCCTTCTCCAACAAGACCTGCTCCATCTCTCGATGTCCCTTGGAAATGGCCAAGTCAAGCGGCGTCCTTCCGTTATTATTCTTGAGGTTCTGGTTCGCTCCCGCTCTCAATAACGCTCGCGCAGCCTCAATGTGATTCTCGTAAGCTGCCATGTGCAAGGGAGTCCACCCCTCTTCTTGCGCGATATTCGGGTTCGCTCCAGATGAGAGTAGGTACTGAACGGCATTGGTACTTCCGTGGTTTGCAGCAAGACTCAATGGAGTCCATCCAACGTTGGTTTGAACTGACGAATCGCATCCATTCGCGAGCAAAACCTGCACGACGTCTACCTGGTTCTTCTTCGCGGCTACATGCAGAGGCGTCCAGCTGCTGCTGTTCGTGGCCCTCATGTTGGCGCCGCGCTTGATGAGCATCTTGACAGTCTCGGGATAACCCTCACCTGCTGCAACACCCAGCGGCGTCCACCCGCTATCATTGCGAGTTTCAATATCCGTCTTTCGGTCAAGAAGGGCCTCCACAATTTCCTTGTGCCCATTGCCAGCGGCCGAGGTGATAGCGGCCCAACCATCATTGCTTCGAGTGTCGAGTGGAGCACCCTTCCTCAACAGCATCCTCACAATTTCTAGGTGGCCGTTGCAAGAAGCTGAGTGTAAAGGCGTCATGTTTTCCTTGTTTTGCGTGGCAACCACTGCCCCAAATCCAAGCAAACTCCGAGCAATCTCAGAATAGCCGCGATTCGCAGCAGCATGTATCGGAGTCCATCCGTCCTTGTTTGCCTTATTCGGATTTGCACCAAACTCTAGAAGCAAGATAACCGTCTCCTTGAAGCCACAGAGTACCGCCGTGTAGAGTGGAGAGTGACCACGGTTATCAGCCAAGTCCTTGTCTGCTCCAGCGTGGAGCAGTGCCTTGGCAATCTCGACATTGCCTTCGCTTGCAGCCGAGTTTAGAGGCGTCCAGTTATTCTTGTTAGGGGTTCTGGGGTCTGCTCCTCTTTGGAGAAGCAGCTTGACGACTTCGTCATGATTCTCATTGGCTGCTGCATTGATAGGAGTCCAGTAGTTATCCCCTGCCGCTCTGGAGATGTCTGCTCCGTAGTCGAGGAGAATGCTGACGATATCGGCATGGCCGGCGTCAGCTGCCAGATACAACGGAGTGCAGCCAATAGGCGTGAGAGCATGAACGCTTGCTCCATAACTCAGAAGAAGCTTGGCCACTTCAAGATGGCCGTTGGTGCATGCATTGTGCAGAGCCGTATGGCCTTTGTGCGAGACATGGTGGATGTTTGCCCCGTATTGAAGAAGGAGCTGCACCACCTCAACATGGCCATCGTCTGCCGCTGTACCAACTGGAATCCACCCCGCAGAATTGGGTATATTTATATCGGCGCCTTGCTCCAGCAAGTACCTCACGACGTCGAGATGACCATTGCCAGCAGCCGCGTTGAGCGGAGTCATCTTGATCTCGTGGTCCTTGTGAATCAAGTTCTTGTCAACGCCATGTTCAACGAGCATTCTGACCGAGCGGAGATGCCCAAACTTGGCTGCGCAGTAAATAGGCGACTGTCCATCGGTTGAAGCTGCGTGCATGTCTGCACCATATCGTAGCAACATGAGGAGGGCGTCCGGTTGGCCGTGGTTGGCAGCCGCATTCAATGGGGTAAAGCCGTGTTCGTTGCCTGACTGATAGTCTCCTCCGTGATTGATGAGATATTCTAGAGTGTGTAATTGTCCAGTCACAGCAGCAGAGAATGCGGGTGATTGGCCGTGCTCGCCGGTGGCCAAGATGTCTGCCCCCATCGCCACAAGTCTCTGGAGTTCAGCAAGATCGCCTTCTCGAGCAGCGATATTGAAAGGAGAGGGCTGAGGTCCGTCATCGGATTCATCTTCGGAGTCGCCGTTTGGTGGCGCATTAGCCGCCTGAATGTATGAGGGTGGAGGAATATAGGCATGGGCATCCTCTATCTGGCTCCAAGACGGCTGAGGAGGAGGAGGAGGAGTCGCAGCAAATCTGTGAAACGACTTGGCCGCTTCGACCATGCGCTCCATAGCCAGGGCCATACCTTGGCGCTCGGCTTCTTCTTCACTCCCTACGAATGAGAGTTGTTTGGTGGTCTGAATAGTAGTTTCGAGCTGTTGGATCTCAATGGTTAGAACAGCTAATGCTGAGTGAATCTCCTGCTGAGGGGCTTGCCGGAGAAGGGCGAGACACCTATGAAGAGAGCCAGTCAGCGCTTGTAGAGAAATTGATAGAAGAGGTTCGACTTGCATTCGTATCATATTGGCACCAACTTTGAAAGCCATGTGATGACCTTGCAGACGCTTCCGATTGTTCGTGATAGCCCTGATCCGTCGACCCATCGTCCATGCCTGTGCGCCGGCCTTGAGGAAACTGTTTTTACGCCCACTCTCAATAATGGGAACTAGATCTCTCTTTAGACCTTGAAGAGTGACACCTGCGTGATTGAGGTTATTCTGAAGATTGGGCCACATGCCCAGGCTGGCTGATGGATGTACCATGAGCGTAGATGAGTGGGATCTCCAATTGAGGTTGAGCTCATCCAAGACCTGAGATGCATAGTGAAGATCCCATCCTAGGCCGGCTAGAGTTGAATCTTCATCTGGGACCTTGTCTTGAATGAGGCTGTTTGTGAAGCCAACAAGCTGTGGCGGGTAAGCCTGATGCCCAGTAAGACACGCGTTCAAGCGGGATGAGTACCTCGTAGCATGATCCTTTCAGAGCAGCCGAGCTGCTTGCAATTGATGAAGGATCCATGGCTCAATCCATAGATTTGCTGTGGTGATGATGAGAGGGTATTCGGACAGTTCTCTTGGCCCTGCCTCTTCCGTCCTCAAAGGGTGAAGGGTTGGCTCTGATTAGGGGCATCTGGATTATCTTGGCTTGGCCTAGTGGGGAAAGGCAGATGAAATAGGAGCTGCTTATTGTTATCTAGTCGATCCCTAGCACGCTAGTGTTGTTTCGTTGATTAAAGTGCTACGAGAAGTGGAAATTGACCTCCATTACTGGTAAGACGGTTCAACTTCCGACCGAAGATGGACCAACAGGCTGATCACTAGCTAGCATAACCAGCCATAGATGTTGATTGGTCTTGAAATCCACTAGAATATTCTGCCTTTCCATTCGGGCTAAGACCCTGTTCTATGCTGACAACGCGTTCCATTAGTATTGTGTCAATTTTATGAGGACCAGACTGCACAGTCAGGCACCACAGTGGTTTTGCTCATCAATGAAATCTCAATGTGTACACGATAGATTTTTTTTTCTTCAGTAACTACGCAGCATAAGGACGATCCTCTGCCCTTTCTGTGGGCTTCAGCCTCAATGGTTCCAGATGGAGGGCAATCCAAGCACAAAGAGGGCAAGGAAAACCATGGACAGGAGCTTCTGCCGAGCATTTTATGGTGTCTATTAATGGTTTACATCTTTGTTTCCAATCTTTACTTTGTCTGGTCAGCAGTGCACAGCCATCTCGTCAGCTCTACTCCGAGCTGGGCGGGTTGGTCCAGCATGATCAGATGCCCTGCATCTCCGATGACCACAACTTCTCGAGCTTTGAGGGCCTTCCCAAGTCTGCGAGCATCCTCTGCCGGAATCCATTTATCTTCCGCTCCCCAGATGACTTTGACTGGGATACTCGTTCCGACCTCCCCATATCTCCCTTCCACCTCATCCGTGGTTCTCGAGTTTGCTTGGCATAGCTCTCGGATGAAGCCTTCTTTCCCGCTTTCTCTCAACCAGGGGGCCTTGAGACTCTGCATGGTTTCTTTCGACAACTCAGAGAATGCGGCGTTGCGGATATAACTCTCCAGGATGCCGTCAAAGGCCATGTCGGGCAACTGCTGGAAGCGATGGGGAGCATCGGCGACGACTTTGAACAGAGGTTTTCCGAATGGTCCGATCGCAACGACATCAATTAGACACAGACTTGCGTATTGGCAGTCATGGAGGAGGTAGGCCCGCAGGCTGACCAAGCCAGCATTATCGTGAGCGACGACATGAGGTTTCCGGCTGTTCCAGTCTGCCTGCCAGGATTTGAAGAGGGCTGCATAGACTTCAGATTGTCGTGCAAGGTCACCATCGTACTCGACGATAGGGCTAGAGCTGGCGGCTGCTCCGGGCAGTTTACGTTCTGCGGGAGATTCTCCAAAACCAGGTCTGTCAAAGATGTAGACGTGGAATTGGCGCGATAGAGAGAGGGCAAAAGGTTCCCACAGGCGGGATGACCATGGGGTTCCATGGATCAAGATGAGTGGTGGAGAATTCGGGTCACCTAGTGAATCCCATTTGACGGTGTAACTATGAGTCGAGAGTTCATATTTGAAGGTGTGGTTCAAGGTTGTGCTGTTTGTGGATGTAGTCATCTTTGGCTGTGACGAATTGTGTACTAAGATGCGAAAATTGTGTCAAGGGGCGATAAAGTGGTTTCAATAAAGATAGTTTGTAAGTTGAGCATAAATACCAGGGTTAATATGAGGGAGAAGCTGAGATATTTATCTAGGTCACGGTTGACGTAGAGGACATCAGGATCCGACGTGGCTTTTTCGATTGGTAATATGACGAAGCCGATCTTGCATCCGTCCTATCCTTTATCGTCTCGGCTCGGGAAGCCTACCCGTTGGTGGTACTGAGAAGATGCCTACGGTGCTTGATAACTTCCAATCTGAAGCCGAGACCGCAAGTAGCATATCCACCAAGACCAGCGTTTTTTATCGCCACTCTTGGAATATCTTTTAAATTACTGCACAAATTCAACTCATTTAAATCGTTTCAAATCCTCATATTCTATCCTTGGACTCTAGCCAAGCGTGGCTGGCCCCTCTTGATGGATGATGTAACCGCGCCCTTCGATTGACAGAAAGGATCAAGGAAAGAAATTTCCCGCGCACTTTGTCCCTTCACGCCCTTTCTTGGACAGAAAAATTCCCTGATTTTTAAAGGAATCCGTCATTTCATCCGATTCCTTGATGTCATCCCTCGGGAAGCACACCCGACACCACAACTGAACAAGAAAAACACCATGTCAACAACAACAGCCGTTCAGTTGGAGGTCCTTGGAGGGGATTATGAAGAAGCGGCCCATTCCACAAGATCAAGCCTTCGATCAACCCGAATTCGTCATTCGGAAAATGGCAGATCACTCCAGCAAGATGCCTCTGATGACCCAGCTCTCGAAGCCTCGCGCATCGCCGACAGTACCGTTCCAGACGGAGGCTATGGTTGGGTTATCATCCTCGCCTGTGCTGTCATTGGTTGGTGGACTATAGGCCTCAGCTATGTTTGGGGTGTCTACCAACGCGCGCTTCTGGAGAAGGGAATCGGATCCCCTCTGGCTTTGTCATTTTGCGGCTCTCTATCGCCAGCGCTGATGGCATCGATAGGGATGCTCGTGTCTCGAGTGATGCGATCTCTCGGCACTCGCAAGCTCTGCTTCATCGGCATCACATTGATAGCGCTTGCGGAGATTGGCGCAAGCTTTGTGACGGACCATCTCGTCGGGCTATTCTTTCTCCCTGGAGTGCCTCTTGGACTTGGAATGAGCGCATGCTTCATGTCCTTTTCCGTTGCCCCAGCTCAGTATTTCCGCCGGAAGAGAGGACTGGCAAATGGAATAGTCATGGCTGGAGGTGGTTTCGGAGGTGCGATTATGAGCGTCGCAACCAACAACATGATTGAACGATACGGTGTTGAATGGGCTTTTCGAATTACCGGCTTTCTCATCGCCGGAACTGGACTCCCTGCAGCCTGGTTGATCAAAGAGAGAACACCGATCCACGCGACTGGACTCATCGACTGGACCCTCTTCCGACAGGCCAACTTTGCTCTCCTATTCTTGGCTGGCGGTATTGGCATCTTCCCACTTCTTGTGCCACCCTTCTTCATCCCCCTCTACACTCAATCCATGGGACTGAGCACTAGCACTGGTGCAGCATTGCTGGCCGGATTCAGTTGCTCATCAGCCGTCGGTCGGATTATTAGTGGTCAACTCTGCGATATTCTTGGACCTCTGAACACTCTTGGCGCATTCTTTCTGGGAAACTCCCTCACCATGATTGCACTATGGCCAGCTTCAACCACCTTGGCGCCTCTTGCCGTCTTTGCAGTCTTGAATGGGCTGATGAATGGAGGCTTCTTTTCATGCATGCCTACCGCTGTTGGCAACGTCTTTGGGTCGACTCGTGTCTCGACGGCGGTGGGCATGATAATTGTTGGATGGGTTGCAGGCTATCTCTTTGTGAGTTTTGATCATCCCGCGACTTCGATTCAAGTGCTAACAACGAATTGTTAGGGATCTCCAATTGCAGGATACCTCCTTGAAGCTTATGGTGGTGCTGATGAGGGGCTGCACGCTTATCGACCAGCCATGTTCTACGCTGGCTCCGTGTCTTTGGTTGCTACTGCTCTTGTTGCTATTTTGAGATTGCGAATCAGCAAGAAGCCTTTGGCAAAGATCTGAGCCATTGCAAGGATATGGGCAGTAATTGATGGGAGCAGAGTCTACGGTGGTCGATGTCCTGGGCCAACATCCCCGGCCGGATCTGGTTACCTTGTTAAATATCTAGATTAATTGACATCTCAACTTGAATCAATTCAAGTAAATATCCTTGATTACCCTGAACTGCCCGACAGATGTATCTGGTCCAAGAATTGCAGTACAGATTGCCGAGGCCGCCTTGACAATATCCGGAACGCCTGAGCCAAACGCGTCCAAAACACCTGATTGAAAAGGTTCAATTCCTCCGGAAATGGAGGTGGCGCAATCGGCCAATTGCGTCGGGTGACGAGCATGAACGCCTGTCTCAGCGTTGGTGGCAACATCACGCCAACTCAAGCGTGTCAGGGCCATGTCTGACAAATCCTTTCGGTTAAAACCATTCAGGAACGAATGCACCGTGATCGATAAGGTACGTATATAGCAAAAGCTGACGAGTAGGGACGCGTTCTCTCCAATTGTACCTGATCTACGATCAACAGACGCGTTTTTCGAGGTATCTGCGTTATCAGACATCAAACGACCAACCCCAGACAAGGCAATTCCAATGACTCAGGGCAAGATTAAGATTGAACGATTCTTGACCGCTTCTTCATGCCTTGTCACGCCATTCACGCCCGAGTCACGAGGAATCGCGTCCGACTCGCGGACGAGCCAAGGTTCATCAGGCGAGTTAATCTCCTGGTCAACGCGCGAAAAGCGTGTTTCGGGGAACATATGACAGCCCGATTGCCAGGGCCACAGCCAGATACGGCCTTGTACCACCGAGTCTTGCCGTCAGAATCGGACGAGAGCTCGGTAGATTAGCTTGTACAGTTCCAGGTATAACAATGCGTAAACAAAGGCTTTCTATTGAATAAATACCTTGCCAGGCCCGGGGACTGTATATCCGTGTCGATGCACTTCCAAGCACGCGATTTATGAGCCATTAATAACAACACGCACAATGACTGCAGCCACGGCATCCCACATTGGTCTCGTTGATGAGTACCTTGCCAAAGGAACATGGAAGGTTTCTGAGAATTCAAACTCGACATACTCGCACCAGGGCCTCATGCAATATGTCTCCAACCACATCATCTCCCAATACTGGTTGGACAAGATCTACACCGAGGAGATTCGCAAGTACGACAGCGAGAATCGTTTCCATATCCACGATCTTGGATTTTTGAGCGCCTACTGCTCAGGTTGGAGCATTGAAGATATCCTTCTTCAGGGATTCGGAGGCGTCGAGAACAAGATCCAATGTCGTCCACCGAAGCATCTGAACACGGCTCTCAACCAGATTGTCAACTTTCTCTTCACTCTCCAGGGCGAGCTTGCAGGAGCTCAAGCTCTTTCCAGCTTCGATACCTACCTTGCTCCGTTTATTCGAAGCGACAACTTGTCCTATGTGGAAGTCTTTAAATACCTGCAGAGTTTTGTCTACTCTTTGAACGTGCCAACTCGAAGCGGATTCCAAGCGCCCTTCACCAACCTCTCCCTGGACCTCATCTGCCCAAGTCGCCTGGGCGACCAGTCCGTGATTATTGGTGGAGAACTTCATGAAGAATGGATCTACAGTGACTTTCAGGAAGAGATGGATATTCTCAACAAGGCCTTTGCCGAGGTCATGATGCAGGGCGATGGCAACGGCAACATCTTTTCGTTCCCCATTCCAACCTACAACCTCTGCGAAGGCATCGACTGGGAATCGCCTCGCTGGAAGTCCATCTGGGAGATGACAGCCAAGTATGGAGTTCCGTACTTTGCCAACTTTATCAACAGCGATCTGGATCCTGAAGACTTTCGATCCATGTGCTGTCGACTTCGACTCGACCTCAGCAAGCTTCACTGCAGAGTTGGTGGCCAGTACGGTGCAAGTCCGTTGACTGGATCTATTGGAGTGGTGACTGTTAACCTGCCCAATCTCGCCTACAGATCCAACGGCTCTAAGGAAACATTCCTGGCCGAGCTGTCGGATACTTTGAGGGTCGCCAAGGACTCGCTGGAGATCAAGAGAAAACTCGTGGACTCAAATGCGGCCCTATATCCATACGCAGCTCATTACCTCTCCGCAACAAAGGGCCGGACCGGATCTTACTGGACGAACCACTTCAGCACCATCGGAGTCAACGGCATGAATGAAGCCGTGGTCGCGTTGTTTGGAGAGACCATTGCCAAACAAAAGATGTTTGCGCTTGAGGTTTTGGACTTTATCAAAGAGCGTCTTCAAGAGTTCCAGAACGAGACAGGCAACCTCTACAACTTAGAGGCGAGTCCTGCCGAGAGTACTTGTTACAAGTTCGCACGTCAAGACAAGATTCTCTTCCCGGACCGGAAGATTCCAACCTTTTACACCAACTCGACCATGCTTCCAGTCGACACTACCGAGGATCTTTTTGAAGCCCTGGCTCACCAAGAGGACCTTCAGTGTTCATACACGGGTGGAACCGTCTTCCATGCCTTCTTGGGTGAGCGTTTGCCCGAGTGGAAATTGGCCCGAAACTTGATCAAACTCTTGACATCGCGCTTCCGCATTCCTTACATCACCCTCACGCCAACTTTCAGCATCTGCAAGACGCATGGTTACCGTGCAGGAGAAGAACCTGAATGTTTACTCTGCGGGGAGTCATGTCTCGTCTACTCTCGAATCGTCGGCTACTTCCGTCCCACCAGAGACTGGAACAAAGGCAAATCTGAAGAATTCACTGCTCGCAAGGTCTACCGGTACATCTCTGACTCGCCAATTTCGGAAGCTGGAAAAGAAGAGACGGAGCTTCAGGCACTTGAACGACAGGTTGCTGAGATTGACGATATTCCAGTGGCTGGATACATCAAGAGTACTCTGAGCGACTATCCTGGCAAGATGCAAGCGTCCATCATGTTTACTTCACGATGCAACCTGGCTTGTCCTTGGTGTCACAATGGACCTGTTGTAAATGGTGTGCGTGACGATGTGACAGCTCAAGATGTCTTTAGACACATCACTTCAACCTCTCACAAGTGCTTGGTCATCTCTGGGGGTGAGCCAACTATTCACAAAGGTCTCTTACCTTTTATGCGACTTCTCAAGAAGGCGGGAGTGACCATCAAGCTCGACTCAAACGGAACCTCTCCTGAAATCCTACGCCAGGTCTTTTCAGAGAAGCTGGTTGACTTTGTGGCAATGGATATCAAGTGCGCGCTTGAAAAGTACAAGACGGTCGCCGGCAAGAGAATCAAGCCCAAGGTGCTCCAGGCGAGTATCAATCTCATCAAAGAGAGCGGGGTCCCATACGAGTTCCGTACTACAGTTGTCCCGTCGCTTGTCGACATGGAGGATCTGTTTGAGGCGAAGCGCTTGGCTGGAGGGGACTTGAAGATGCAACGTTTCCGCAATGGAGATACAATCTTGGGAGAGGACTACAGAGACTTTCCGGAACATACGGAGGAAGAGTTTGATGCTCTGGTTGCTCAGGTGGCCTAGGAATGAAAGCTGGGCCTTGCGATGGAATGTTTGATGACTTATTGAAGGGTGGCTTTTTGACATTTTAGATAGTATGCTCGCTGCGTGTCTCTTTGGATTGGAATCTCGTCGTATTATATACAAAAACATCATATATATACATTCTTGAGGTCGTATACTTTTATCCCATCCTACTTCTTCCTTACAGCCATCACCAAATAAACCGGCCGTTGCAATACCCGATGTCCCGAGTAAGGGTACGTCTTCATCTCCTCTGGCGTTGGGCGCCACTCATCAAACCCAGTCAGTTCAAACCCTGCTTCTAGAAAGGTATTGATGTAAGTTGAAACCGTGCGATGATGCTTCTCAACCCCCTCAATGAGCCATTTTGTCAACCGCACGCCCTCCTTGTGATAGCTGTCCAATGGCCAATACTCTCGTCCTGTGGCTTCATCCGTTATAAACGCTGGATGAGACGGTGCCGTGTAAACTGGATGCTCGACGGAAAAGACAAACAAGCCTCCACATTTGAGGCTTCGATGTATATGTTTGGCAAAGTCTGCTAGGTGAGCAAGGTAATGGATCGTAAGAGAGCTAAAAGCCACTTCGTATCTATTCTCGCAGCTCTCCGGAATCATCATAGAGTCCATATCGCCTCGTTCATATCTGATATTCGGGTCGTCGGTCATGGTTTGCGCTCGGTCAAGCATGTTTTGCGAAATGTCGATTCCGCAGACAAATTCAGCTCCGGCCTTGCGTGCCCATCGAGCAAACCATCCGAAACCACATCCGAGATCGATTACGCTTAATCCCTTGAGATCCGGGAGGTAGGACTGCATTCTTGGCCATTCTGGGGCACTGCCGAGGCCGTTGACTGAGCGATCGAGGGCGGCGTATTCGGCAAAGAATTTGCCGTTGTCGTAGATGTTTTGCGGCATTTTCCGCAAATCGACCACCATGAGTTATCGTTGTTTTGAAGAGATATCGGACAAAGTGGGAAGTGTTTGTTGGGTCTTGGCTAGTTGCAAAATTCTCCGAAAAGATTAAATCGAGGATATAACGAATATTAACGCATTGAGAATTAACGCGCCTCCTTGGCCTTTATGACCAATGAGTCAATTCTCCGCTTATGGGCCGTTTTGCATGAGTCATTTCACAAAAAGAGACTGCAGGCCAATAGGTTGCATAATAGCAGGGCAAATCAGGTTTAGTTGGCATGGCATCATTTGAAACCCACAAGACGTATTACTTATACTGCCTATGTACCTACGCCATAACTCTATATACAGGGTACTCGTCTCCCTCGTTGACGGGGAGAATATTGAATGTGACATACGAGTCGATACCCTCAGGTTCCAACGTGACAAGGGCGTGTGCCGCGTTCTTTTGTCTTGTGCTGACCCAGAAGCTTCCTGCAGGCATTCTGATTTCCTTTCGGATAGTTTCGGTCGTGACGGTCGACAAAGCGGTACCCTGATAGAGTGTCTTTCCAACCGAAGCGCTCGTGATGTTTAGCGCCTCAACCTCGCCGACAAAGTCTGCTTTGAGGGTATCGACCTTGACTCCGGCGATTTGAAGTCTTTCCGCGGCATCCTTCCACGCTCTGGGGAACACATAGGCCTCGGGTCGGGTACGAGTGAGATTGGCGAGAACTGGAGTGGTACTGAGGAATTGGACTGGGAGTTCCACGAGCTTTCCAGACTCGAGCTCGATGAACTGCCAAGTCCTGTTGGTAGGTTGAGGGGCGTCGGTGATGACGATATCATCATTGCTCTCTGCATACTTCTCTCGTGCGCTCTCAACAACCTTGTACACCTCTTCCGCATTATCCGCAGCCGTCTGGATGAGAGACTCAACCATGATCAACCCAGCTGCGACTCGTCGCTGGAAGTGTTGACCACCAAGCATGATACCTCTGGTCTCAGTGAGGAAGACAAGGGCTTGGCTCAGGGCAAGAGAAACATCACCAGCTCGCGCCTCAGTGTTGAGCTCAGTGAAAACAAGAGGTTCCTCCTTCAGAACACCAGTGATGTAAGGGCTCCATCGCAAGTCGTGAGCTTCCATCGCAGTAGCAACATTGGGAACAAACATCTCTTCAGCCAACTCTCGAATATTCTTGTGAATATTCAAGTTTTTCATAGCCGAGATTTGACCGTCCACAGCCTGAACCCACTGATCCTTGGTACCATATGCGCGGTTGGCGCTATACTCATGAGAATCAACACCAATGTGGGGGTTAAACTCGGAAATCAACTTCTTGACTTCTCGAGTTATGGCGCTTGCTTGCTTGATGTGATCTCTGTTGGGGTCGAAGCCGGTTGCAAGGAAGCGCTGGAAGTAGGCCACGCCATCGGGGTTATAACGAGGAAGAATCATAATGTCCATCTTCTCCAGGATGGACTCGGCCCAAGTAGAGTTGGCATCAAACTTTCCGAGCAAAGCAAGGAGAAGTTGATCACCACCTGGTTCGTTTCCATGGACACCGCCTTGAAGATAGACACGGAGCTTCTCGGACGCAGAGGCGTTTGTCTTGGGCTGCGTTGAGGTAGATAGGAAGACATAAGGGATAGAACGGCCATCTTCAGACTTGAAAGATGGGTTTGTGTATGTCATCCAATCATTGCGGGCAGCAAGAGTTTGGAGAAAGTAGTCTGCGGTCGATCAGCGGAACGTCCGGAAGTAGAGTCACATCCTCATACCTAATGTGGCATCGTCGGTTGGGCCACTTGTGCCGTTCTCAAATCCCGCCGGGACACTCTTGGGGTCCGTGAAAGGCGGAGAGTAAAGCTCAACGCCCTCAACGTCGGGAAAGTTCTTGGCGGCCTCATCGCTGTCTCTGACGAGAGCGACTTGGTTGTCTGCGTAGCGGTGCGCTGCCGTGGCCAGGCCTACATAGAGTAGTCCAGCGGTGAGAGTTGCTCGAATCGTCATTGTGTCTCTTGTCGTCTTGATGCGAATGACAGTTGTGAGTGCTGGACACCCTCTTCTGTGGCGATCGTGAAGAAAGCTGAGCTCTTATAGACTTGTCGGCTGTAGGCTTCCATCTCGCGTCCTTGGCCGGCGGCCGGCGGCCGGAGCGTCGCCTGGACCTTCTCCAAACCACAACGTCTCCAGGCTCATCCCCACCGATCTGCGCATAATTAAGTGATAAAGAGATAGGACTACGTCCCAAAAAGGTGGTGTTCATCGCCGGGAACCATAAACCATCTCCTGACGCCGGGCCAACCAGCGACAGCGAAAGATAAGCTTAAACCGATTAAAGAAGGTGCTTAATAGTTTGGCATGTTTAGAAGCTGGGATAGTCGCTGTCTAGGTTGCAATACCAAGGCGGGGGACGTGGATTATGGGGTGTGCCAAGACGCCGGAATGCCTGCCCAAATGGATCCTTCGTTTATTACCCCTCTTTAGAATCGTTCCCTTCTGGAAAAGTCTTGTGATTGTCATGGCATGATGTCAAGGATTTTGATTATGCCGTTGATATCCTCGGATCTCGCTGTCTATAGTTGACAATTGCGGGATATAACTTGATGTCCACGAGTCAGGTGGGGAGGCTGGGCGAAGGAATAAACCCCGGTGTAACCAGTCTTTGGGGCATTTGTATTAGCTATCACTAAGATTAGAGTGTGTGTGTCTATGACTAAATAGGTATGGCTGGAAGATTAACATAACGTCGTTTGCGTGCGTATCATCATCTAGCCGACCCCATGTAACCCGCAAGTATCCTGAATCGTCGTTTGCTCTCATGATCCCTCTTGTGAACTTTTCCAACTCCAGCGCCCAAGGTAAGAGACTGCCTCAAATGCATCACTCGTCTCTTGCCAAGGCAGTGGTGGAAACTTAGCACTTGACATGTGGTTTGCATCCTACCTTCAGCACTCGAGCCAATAGAAGCAAGCCAACGCAAACCGAACTACAGAGAGCAGCCCAGATATGCGCACCAGTGTAGTCGTCTTTTGTTGCAGACTGAATACGGCCACCAATGGGAGGACCAGTCAATCCGGCAAATGAGATGATGCTAAAACACATGCCGATTCGTGTGCCCATGGCATCCAGTCTCTTTGTGATACTTGCGACTCCAGTTGGCATGAGACTTTGGAATGCACCAGAAGCAAGGCCATAAAAGGTTGTGAAAATCCAGATGCCCGTTATGTCGTGGACTGCTAGCCAAGAAAAGGCAACGACAGCCACGCAAAATCCAGCTGGGGCTATCGTGTTGAGTGGCCCAATGCGGTCGGCGATGATCGGTACCAGAACTCGTGCAGGTAGGCCCGCACCGTTGATGAGGGTGGTGAGGAGCGAAGCATCAGAGTATGAAAGACCCAGGGCATCTCGGCCATACGAAGCGAGCTACAGTCTGATCAGCACAGCCATCCTTGGCGTTAAGACGACCGGACATTTGTTACTCACATAATAGAAGGTGTAGTAGACGGGCAAGACGAAAAAGAACAGGCCTGCCACATAAGAGATGTAGAGTTTGTCCTTAAAGGCATCCCAGTCAATGATTGGTCCAGACTTGCGTGGGGGAAGTCTTGGACGCATAAAGACAGCCACAAAGCAAAACCCTGTCAAGTTGATGAAGCCAAGCACTCTAGTTGTCCAAGGCATTCCCAGTATGGGAAGCAGTTCCCGGACGACAAGTGGATATACAAGGCCACCGATAGAGTTTCCAGTTGTCACAAGTCCAATTGCGATGCCTCGATGTTTGTCAAAATATGTGGCGACCAAGGCGAGTGACGGGGCAAATATGATGCCTCCACCAAAGCCAGTCAGAATACCTTGAGTAAGCATCAATTGCCAGTATTTTGTCGAAACACTCATTAGAAAAATTCCAAGAAGCTGCATCGTAGAGCCAATGAGAAAGGTTGGAACAAAGAGCCCAGCATCGAGGAGTCTGCCAGAAAAGGCACTCCCGAAGAAGGTTAACCAGACTTGTAACGAGCCAATCCACGAAATATCAAAAGATGATTGAGGCAGCACCGATGTGTAGTAGGATTGAAAACTTCCAAAAGAGTTGACATAGCCCCAGGTTGTGAAAATGACAATCCAGCCCATGGCAACTTGTGTCCATGCCCGTACACCGCCGTCTGGAGGTTCTGGCAGGACGATTGACGATTGGTGAGTTCTTCTCGTTCCAATCCTCTCGAGATCTTGTGCCTCCATCGCAGACAAATTTTGATCAGGTGGTGTTTCAGCCCTACGATGATTGTCGTTAGTTGAGATGATACGATTTTTCACAGACGTTGGGCAAGCTGGGAACTGACGTTGTCGCCGCTATCGGGCTGGGAGATGCGAATTGAGGGGTTAAACGAGCCATGATTAGCTATGCAACAAGCTTTACAAAGATCACCGTGCAACATTTGCGGGAACAGAAGAATGGAGGACTCTTGCCGATATTTACATTCAGGCTCCTATTTCGGAGTGGAGAAACAGGTTACATTTGCCTGATGCTTCAAATTCTTCACCGTGGATCGGAAATCATAAGCCGACTCGGCTAAATTGCGCATTTGAAGCCCACAAAAAAAAAGGTGGTTCTTTACGATAAGGATATTTCGGCTGCTGTTGTCGGGAATAATGGCCAACACTTAACAGAGGCATCTGGAGCTGCTAGGACGTATTCAGCAAAAGGTCGAGTTTAGTGAATATACTGGAACAATGGTCTTTGGTCTTGACAATAGCAAAGATTGTTGCCGTGAAGTTGAGGCATGTTGAAGGAGGCCAAACACTGAAAATGACCTGTAGTTTATACCACCCTGATAAATGCGATGTCACGAGGCCGACTCTCTGGATAAGATAGTATGATTGATTGCAGGGGAATTGTCCCGTAGTACTGCCACGTCGTTGATTTGAAAGACAGGTCATTAATGACAAAGAACGACTGAGGAGGCAAACCACCGAAATGTCGGTAAGGCAACGTGGACTTTTAAGGCTTCGTATCTACCTATATGGGGTTTATTAGAGTAAAGAAAATCTTTTCTATCCTGGCCTTATGAATTCAAGTTCTTCTCTAGGTGTGGATCTCTCTAGGGTAGGCACCCCGGCATGTTAAGATTGGTGCCCAATGGTGTTAATATCGACCACCCTGTCATTCCAGACTGTGTCATTCTAGACTATCCAAGGTATAACTCGAACATGAAAAAGTATAGAAACGTGATTCTGAAGGGATGTCCCAGCTGATTATTGGTGCCCATCCTATCAGCTTCTCGATCAGACGGCGGGTAGTTTTCCGATGGCATCGGCAGCACCAATCCCGATCTTCTGAGTTGACATCTTACCCACCACAAGGATGACTATTTTTAGATTTTAACTACTACTATGTATTGCAATAGAATAACTCTATAGGAACGGTCCAATCCCTCCTATGTTGAAAGCATTTTACCCTTTGTTTCTCTTTTCCGCAGCGCAATCTTCCGACGTCGCGGAATCCCGCTGCTCAACTCCCGCCCAACAATCTTGGCACGCGATCCCATTGGACACACACGTCTTGGCAAGGCAGCTTCAGCTCATCAATGCACGCAAGCGGGTTGCTTTCTTGCGGCCTCGAAGTTCAGCTGGACCAACAAAACATCGTCGTTGAAACATGTGCTCGACGAGGAATTCAGCCTCACTGGAGTCTGAAAGTGCCGTTGAGCTCGCAACATCTGATAAAATGAGAGTGCAATGCCTTTTTGGCAAGATCATGGTTGAGTTTCTTTGACCCTCAATCGCGTCAACATGTCGGAATACACACACATCGATACCCGGCCTATGGTCTGGGTCTCGCGCAAGATTATGACCATCTTTTCAATTCTCATCTTTTTCGATATTGGCATGATGGTCACCACTATCATGGCCGTGACTGGCGCTGAAACCGCCGATCCACGGGACATTGTGCAGGGGGCAAAGATCGATTTTCCCCCTCCGGGAGAACAGATTCAAGCTCTTGAGATTGGCCTGGTAAGATTCCTCATTAATTCGCTCCCATTAACAAAGCCGGTATGGACGGAGTGATTTCAAGGCGGCATTCGGTCTGTTCTTCCACATCCTGTTCGCCCTCATCTTCCTAGGCCGGGTGAAGAAGGCAAAGCAGACAATGGACTACGCAAGCGGCACTCGACTAACAGAATTTGTGCTCTACATTGTTCTACCATTTCTGGTAATCGAGGTGGCTGGATGGGCAGTCTGTCTCGGGTTCCAGAGCTTATACGCCCCCGTCATCAAACCCCGGAAGCTTCTTGCGTGCCATTATCTTGGGCCGGATCTCGTTCAGTGTGGAATGGTTTCCTCATCTTGGGTCGGGGCTATTGTCTATAGGCAAGTGTACCGCTTCTTTGAAATGGCGTCTTCTAACATTGATCTAGCTTCGTTCATTTCGTATTGCTCATGCTGGTCCTTCGAGCTTACTACCGTATGGACCCAGTGGCAGAGCCCTCGCCGCAGTACGCGGGTGTACCATCGGCAGAGGATGCGCACCATTCTTTACCGCAAGACCATGGTGCCCCTCCATCTTATGAGGAGAGGGAATCGGGCCATCTTATCGGCAAATCGACCAAGACGCAGCCTCAGCATGTGGAAATGTCAAGGATGACAACGTTACCGGAGTAAAGGAAGGAAAAGAAGTCTGTATTTTGAATGATAACCAAAGATAAAACTTAAGAAAATATCCGTCAGTGTTGCATTACTCGCACAACCATCGGGAATCTTTTCGAGCTGAGGCTACCAATTCCACCACGCACGCCTATGGCTTGCACAGTAGAGAAACTAACTAGCTCTTGAACTAATGGCCCAGTCTGAATGCGACGAAAAGCTATGCCGATAAAGTGGCTTTATTTGTCGCACTCTGTAAGCTGAGTTGCGTGTTCACTTGCACTGCAGTTTTAACCCAGCCCAAGGGAACGAATTGCGTTGGTAGTGTAACGTTAGTTCGTAGGTAGGATGTCTGAAAGTTCTGGCGATTACTCACTGGCTCATCTTATCTAATGAAACCAGGGCTAGATGTTGCACAACCAGCCTCTAAAAGCTATCACTGTCATCCACACAACCGCCTGGAGCGATAAACAATCAATCCTTTTCGGCCGAGTTCTGGATTGGCCAAGGCAGAATGAGAAAGCAATTACAACCCGCTCTCTGGAAGATCGGCGAGCCTTGCTGACTGTCCAATCATGGTGTCGAGTGACGTCGATAGTTGCATGCGGCTGAGCATCAGGTGCCTCCCCCAGGATGAGACACGTTGAGCGTCTCGCCACCTGCGAAAAGCCATTTGAGCTTGGGTCTCTCAAGAAGGAACGGAATTGAACAAACTGGGAGAATCTGTAAAGTAGATTCTGTTCTTCCCATCAACGGCTGGCGCCACTCGTGGTTTCATAGCTGTTCGCGAGGAGTACACAACTTCCAGTCAATTTGTCAACCAGGCTCCAGATCAGCCACTCATTAACCCCCCTGCTCAATTTGATAAGCCCCTCCTTTTGACCTTATCTGTATCCTCGGGTGCTCATATCTCCCTGTTTCTTCTCTCCCTTCTCCGCTTTGCTCACGAGCGTTGCGCTGCTCCACCACTTGGCGTCGGACTCACAAGTCTTGTCAAACATGCCAAGATGCTGCCGAAGCTAGTGTTACTCGCTGGCTGGGCTTTTCATACCGTCGCGGCCCGACCCGTCTTCACCAACACCAATTTTGATGTCGAGCAAGGGACGCCTTTCACGCTCCACTACCAGGGCTGTGACGATGGCTGCACCATCGCCCTTATGACAGGCGATTCTGCTAATCTGAGAGTCGAAGAAGAACTGACAAGTGAGTTGCTATCTTTCCGACTCTAGACTTATGCCTTGTGGCTAACAATTGTAGCGAGTGCGACCGGTGATAGCTTCACTTTCACTCTGAATGACCTTGACGCGGGAACATACGCTTTTAGAATCACCAGCGGAACAGACTCTTCATACAGTGCCCTGTTTGAATTAGCTGGAGACTCGAACTCCTCTGCGTCGGAAACGGCCGCTTCCTCCGAAACTCCGGCCGAGTCAACAACCGCGCCAGAGACCAAGTCAACGTCAACGTCGACATCGACATCATCTGCATCTAGTTCGAGCATCACTGGCTCCGGTATGGGAATTGAAACATCTCGTGTGGCGTATTCTAATCATTAAGTTACAGAATCTTCAACCGACTCTCAAACTACTACGACGTCTACTTCGTCGGGAGTTTCTTCAACCATGTCAACGGCATCACAAGCCACCACAACAGCACCCAGCCCTCCCAAGCATGGACTAAGTGCGGGTGCGATTGCTGGAATTGTAGTTGGAGTAGTAGCCGTCATCCTCATCGTCCTTGGAGCTTTGTTCTTCGTGATGAGGAGGAGAAAGCAGAAGGCGGCCAAGGGATCAACGTCAAGTGCTGACCCACGCGATGGACAGCCTCAAATTGCCGAGTTAGAGCAGCCAAAGAACATTAATATCGTCGTCACCCTAGCCACACCGGCTAAGATACGCATATAATATCTAGTATTTTCTAAGGGAATAAACTAGGCATATTAGGTTTATTATTAATAAAGAGTCTTAATATTATTATATAATAAGATATTATATATTAATAATAGGTTAAGAAAGTCTTAAATATTATAGCCTAATATAGTCCTTATTATATATCTAAAAAGTCCCTATAAAATTATAAGGGTATAGGGCGGCTATGTGACGAGAGGATATTTTCCTAAGGGATAAACCGGTCGTACAGGTTTATATTAGCACTAGATTATATTATATAGCCTTAAAGGGTAATATAAGTTATATCTAGTAATATACTTAAGGGTATTAAATATAACTAAGTTATATTAATAGCTAAGGTAACTATTATATAAGAAAGTATAATAAGTATATTCTATATACTTATTATTAATCTTTAGACTAATATTCTCTTTATTTAGTCTAAGGTAAAACTAATATATTTAATATTTAATCCTTAGATTAAGGCGAATATTATTTAATCCCTTTAATCCCTATTTAATTAAAGTATTTCTATTAGGCTTCCTTACCTAGCTTATATTATAGCTATAATATAAGGTTCCCCCTTTATTAGTTTTATCCCTAAGATTAATTTTAATAATTAAATATTATTAATAAGTAATTCTAATTTATAAAATTTTCTTTTTATTAATATAATATTAGGCTAAGTTTCTAAGTATATTTTATTATAAAAACTTTTTAAAATATAGAATCTTATTACTTATATTAAGGCTTTTAGTTCTAAGATTATACTTTATATTTATTATTTCTACTAAGGCTTATCTTATAAGGTAATTTTTAATTATTTTTATTATTATTTTAATTATATTAATATAAAGATTATATATAATAGGGCTAATATAGCTTCTTTCTATAAGTATATATTAATATCCTTTATAGCCTTTAATTAATTCTTTTATAATCGCGAAAAATATTTAAGAATATAAATATCTAGAGGATAAAGAGGCTAAGGTAGAGGCTACTTTAAAAGAAGTAATAGCTAAGCTTATTTATATCTAGAAATAAAAGAGATTACTTAAAATATATAATAATAAGGCCTTTAAGTATAATTTATATACCTTAGAGGAGTTAAGCGAGCTCTACGAGGAATTATTTATTATTATAAAGGTATATTTTTTTAGGGCTATTAACTTAATTAATTAAAATACTATTAGCCTTAATAGGCTTATACTTAGTATTATTAATAAAAATTCTTTAGAAGGTATTATATATTAGTAAGGTATTTTAATAATTCTTATAACGTACTTGATAAGCGAGTGAGCCAGACAAGCGAGTGAGCCAGAAATCCTAACATTTCTACTAGAAATCGCAATAAAAACACCACAAACCATCTAATCAATTAAAACTACTCACTATACTCTTCCCCAGATGTCTCAATCACTACCTGACAGGTCCTTGCATTATGCCCGGGCTTGCCGCAGACACCACAGCGCCGAACACCCAGTCCAACCGACCTTCCTCGACCACCACTCCTCGACGATTCGGCCACTACCTGCGCATCCACATCCATTTGATCAATTGCTTGCCTTCCTTCCTCTACCGTTATTACTCCTCTTTTCTGTAGTCTAGTCCTTTTTGCCCTCCGGCGCCGGCTTAATATCTCATTCGCCTCTCGAAGGTCTTTATTCTCAGCAGTCAATAAGGCAACCCGATGCATAACAGCCTTTGTCCCCTTCGCAAGACTCTGAAGAGCCTCTAAAATTGACTCTGGGGAGCTACTCTGGTGCCTTCTGATTCGTCTTTCGAGGTATTCAGACTGAGATCCAGCCTCAAGCACGGTCTTTGGGGTCTTTGAAGCCCAAGGGGTCGACGGTTGAGCTGTCTCCTCAACCGGCGTTGGCGTCCGTAGCTACACATCAAGCTTCGAGATCACATTTTCCGGGTCCAGAGGGATAAGGCCGGCTCCTTTGAATGCACCCCTGATATTTGTTTCCGTCATAGTAGCCTCGTGTGCGGCGTGGAAGGCCGGAAAGAACTCCGTCTTTGAAACGTGGGTAATAGAGCATCTGATCAAACGCTCTATTTCTCGACCATAAGCCTTCTTTAGCACACTAAAGCACCCGACGTCAAGGGGCTAGAGAAGATGAGACGAATGAGGTGGCATACAAAGCCGGATGATCTTCTTTTCCTCACAATATCTCTCAAATTCGATGGAGTGGTGACTTTCGTGGCCATCAAGGATCAAGAGACGATAAGAACCAATTGATCGATTGGTTGTGCATCGGTCAAAGTGCTTGAGCCACTCGAGACTAGTCTCATTATCGGTCCAGCCATTTTGGGTCGTCGCAATAGCCCAATCGCCCGGGAGGTTACTTTCTCGGTACCAATTGGCGAGGTGATATTGGCCCGCACCGATGATAAACGGCTGGATCGCCCAGCCTTCCGCATTGATCGCTTGAATGACTGTAATCCATTCCCGGTTTCCAGGCTGCACTGATTTCGGCTTTGAACGCCTTTCTGCACCTATGACAACCATTCCGCTTGCAATCATACCCATAAGGAAGCCAGTCTCGTCAAAGTTATAGATATCATCTGATCGGATGCCGTACTTCGCGATTGTGTTCGCCACAAGCCGAAACCAATCGCGGATAATGGTTGGATCTTCGCACTTGGCTCTCTGGTAGTCGTATTTACGAAAGAAACGCGTCTTAAGGTCTAGGTGCCGCTTGACGAAGTTATGAGCCCAACGCGTGCCAACTGGTGGCGCGTCGCGGTCGGCAAGCAATTGATCAGCCATATCTTTCACACCACGTAGCCGTGGGGGAAATCCTCGCGAATCTAGGTCTAGAATAAAGTGAATAAGGATCTCTTCTTCTAGATCAGAGAGCCTGCGTGAATTCGGGGTAGTATCGCGTCGAGACTGGATGCCCTTTTGCCGGCGACCTAAAGTACAACGGTTGACTGTATAGATCTCTGCAGCGCGTCGTATACGTAGGTTTAGGTTATTTTGAAGGGCCTGAAGGGCAAGGAGCATTCTAGCTTCATAATTAGACTGTGACATGCTGGGTGGTTGAGAATCAATTGATCAAATAGAGATGATGTAGGTTGAGGGATTTTTGGCTCACTCGCTTGTCTGGCTCACTCGCTTATCAAGTACGTTATATTTTTTAATTTTAAGTAATCCTTTTATTTAATTAAATATATTATTTTATTATTAATTTTATTTCTATTAAGGATAATTTTTATAATATATTTTTCTAATTTATTAACTTTTATATTAGGTTTATTATTAGTTTTAATTTAGATAATATCTTATATTAATTTAAATAATAAGATATAAAAGATTAAATAAAGCTTAACCTTAGGTAATAAGTCTAATTTATAATTATATTTTAAGATTTTTTATTTAATCTTATAGGGTCTAATATATTTATAATTAAGTTTTTTATTTTATTATTTTATTTTAATATTTTTTATTATAAAATAAATTATATCTTTTTTTAAGAAGATTAGTCTTTTAATTCTTTTCTTATTTATATAATTTATTATTTTATTCTTAATAAATTTAAGTTTTATTTATATTTCTTTATATAAATTCTTTAATTAATTATTAATAAGGATTATTTTAAGGTTAATAATAATATCTCTTAATTATTAATAAATATTTAGAGTAAATCTAAAATTAATATAAGCTAATATAATCTTTATGCTTTTATTTATAGCTATATTATAGGCTAATTAAGTAGCTAATAGCTTCTTAACTTAGTTAATTTATTTATAATTAATATAATATTAAAGGTATTATTTTAATATCTAATTTATATATTTTATTTATTTATTTCTTTCTTTATAATATATAATAAAGAGCTTATAATTAATCCCTAAGTATCTTATTAGGCTTTATTAAAACTTAGATATAAATAATAGTCCTTAGTTAATAATAATTTTAAGTAATATATTATATATCTTAGTAATATAAAAATAAAAGAAATAAGTAAATTCTTTAATTATTATTAATTCTCTATAGGGTATAAAATAAGAAAATTTTATAAATTTATTTATAATAATAAGAATATTATTATAGAAGTTTTTAATAGCTAATTCTTTTAATAAAAGTAATTTTATAATAAAATCTATTATAATAGCTTCTTATAGTAGCTAAGGTATTAATAAGGGTTATAGCTTATTATAGGGCTTATAGCGCTATGCCTTAGTTTTTATATAAAAGTTATATTAACTAATAATTATAGAAATAATTTTCTTTATATTAAGAAAAATATATATTATTTTAATTTATTCTAGGGTTTTATTAATTCCTTAGTATCTATATAATTAATAGCTATATATTTCATATATAAGGTTATATTATAATTCCTCTAGTATTTATTAATTATTTATTTTTTTATTACTTAGGAGTTATTTATTATATTCTAAGATCTTTATAAGAAGTAAATTACCCTATTTTATTATATAGGTTATTCTAATAATTTAATAGGGTATTTTAGTAACTTTATCTTATTTATAGATAATAAGTTCTATCTAGGGATAGTATTTTATATATTATTATATTTATTACTTTATTCTTCTTTTAAATTAATAATTATTATATAAATAATTTATTTATCTCTATATTAGGTTATAGTCTTTATTATATAGAAATTAATTATAATAATAATTAAAAATAGTTTTAAATATTTAATTAGGGATAATAATTATTTCTTAGTAAGTTAAGAGTCTATATTTATTATAATTATATCGTTATATATAGTTTATGATATTAATATCTTATTTCTTATAGTTCTTAATACATTAGGTATATTCTAATAATAATATTAATTAATAGTATTATTTAATATATATAATAGCTCGCTATTATAAGTATCCTTTAATAATAAAATATAAGAGCTATTCCTTAGTTTAGATTTTCCCTATATCTAGGTTAAGTCTATAGCTAATAATATCTACTTAGTTATTTTTTAATCCCTTAATATAAATAATAATATAATTAAATTCTAAGAGATATTTAATATATTATA